CAAACATTCTCAGAATATTAAGAAAAATGAATGACAATACAGTAAAATAGAAAATAAACTTAAAGATTAAACAATGAAGATGAAAGAAATTAGAAAAAATAAGGAAAAAGGAAGTGGGGAAACATGCAAGTATATATACAGGATGGCTGAGATGATTGTACTAATAATTTCCATTAGTTTTTTGAAAATAGTTAATGTGCAGAATTTTCACCTTGAGTAACTCTGTATGCTGTTGTCTGGGGACTAAGCAACTACACTGAGGACAGCAATGTGTAACACAAAGACCATGCTTGAATGCCTGCCGTCTTAGTCTTCTGAATGTGTACCATTTCTAATGTCGTATCAATTATTACTATACTTTCTTTAAAATATTTTTTAAAAAGGCAATAAAAAGAAAAAAACAAGAACAAAAATTTAAGATTTCTTGAAAGCATGCAGTAATATTTAATCATCTGTCCAATCTTACATAACTATATCTGTTAATCTGAGCAACAGATTTGACAATAAAAATAGACAATATATTAACTACTGTGAATCAGCCATTCTTGTTTGAAAATCTGTAACATATCTATTATTGTATGTTACCCTGTTTCTGTCTCTTTTTCTGAATTTGTTCTTACTCTTGTTTTTACTCTTTAAAATACAACAAAATTATAATTAAAAGAGAAAAAAAGACAAGAGAATAAGAAATTAACAATGGTTATTATATTGTATATTGCTATCCTCAAAGTAGTTACTCAGATTACCACATATAGGCATGCAGAATTGATGAACAATATGCACAAACTGACCCTTTCAACAAGCTAATAGGACCAGCAGTACTATTATCTTAGCTATCTTGAGCATATATTTTTCTCCTTCCTGACATTTGAGTACTTATAAACAACCCCTTAGCTAAACGAGATAAGTATTTAGTAATATTAAATTATTAAATCTTTCCATAAATGAATGTGGCAATATAAAGCAATGTCCCTTTCTACCAATTTTATTGTTTTATACTTATTAGTTAATAAAAATTAAGACATTGTTCAAATATACTATATATCACCTTGTCTAATAAGCATGAATTTTTATAGTATAATAGTTTCAAAATTGGGATGTATTTCACAATTACAGTCAGCTACTATTATGTGCCTTCATTGTATGTGCGTGTTGAATTTCAATGTCATTTGAAAGCCTTCAAAATGATTAAACTGCAATACTTCGAAAGAAAAAGACATTGTGTAATCAGCCAGACATGAAAGCAGAACAGCGAAGCAGAAATCCAATATCAGGGCAGCAAACATTTGTCTTTGAAAGAATAGCTTAAATTCCAAATTTATTTTTGCAAAACAGCCAAATGTATGATGTATTCTCAGAAGAAAAATATACACAAGTAAGTAAATCTATGTTGCTGCTTTTAAAAAAATATTCTCAGATACTAATTAACACAACCTAGTACATAGCTTACAAAAGCCTAAAACAAATGAACACCTTAGAGGAGATCAAAGAAGTTCCAAGTAACAAGTTTGTTGTGATTCATTTATATTGTCATTTTGGACTCTTTAGAACAGCTGTGTAGTGGAATGATTTCCAACGTCTTTTTTTTTCTTCACAATGTTGAACAACATAGTAAATGTTATGCTAGATTTCATCCTTAGTGTATAAAAATATGGACTATATGAAATATGAGATTTTACGGTAAATAACATATATATACTACTTAATCTATTTTATACAAATTATTTATCTTAATGATTTTATTAACTATTTGTGTTAGTGTATGTAGGCATACATGCATATTTTATATGTGCACACATGAACCTCATACTTTCTTTCTAAGTGACCAGTATATGCCCCCATAACTTGTAGTGCATTAGCTTCACTTTGCTGAGCACTGGTGTAAACAAATCCCCTCTAACAAAACAATTTATTTAATTAAGTACACATTCATCAATTAAAACAGTAAGATTAGAGTCTTAAGAAGAAATCAATGTTACCTACATGCCCACCTGTCTTTGGTGACCCTGATTTTAAGGCCAGTGTCCCTATCTCCTGCATGCTGGGAATATGAGCTGCTGGTGGCACCGAGTCACATCTTCTGCTAGGACAGGTCCTAGATCACAAATCTGTTTGTCCCAAGCTTCTGATTTTTCTCAAGAGCTGAACCTGTTCTGTGGACATTGTGGAATCACAAGTCCCTTTTATCAACTGTGTATACCACAGGGCCATCCGAGCTCCAGAACTCCCTGTAGGAGCCGAGCTAAGCTTTGGTTGCGTCTACATTTGTGCCTGCTTCTCTTTTTGACAACCCTTCCTCACACACTTCCTTCCAGTTTGTGTCTCTCTAGAATCTCCCCTCCAACAATAAACAATCTTTACACAATTCTCCTCTAAAAGACTGATTCCTGGACATAAGATCTAAGAAATTCTATCATAATCTAGTTCTAGTGGAAAGAACATTGTCTGTGAAGCTTTGAATGATCATTTATCCATAGAATAATTTAATTCATTTTATTTGTAAATGAAACTACAGTATCTCACGTAAAAGTTTTTTTTTTTTTTTTTTTTTTTAAACCCAGAATATAGTATTAGTAAGAGAGGGTGATCTTTGTTTTAGAAAGAAAATTAGCCTGATACATAATGACACAGAAATTAGGAGTCAATTTTTCTCCTTTGAATGAATGGTGAGTCTAAAAAATCACATGCATAACTTCATTTCACCCTGGCATGACTCAGCTTCCCACAAGAGAAGTTAAAAAAGTCATCTAGGTCAGAGTCCATGAAGAAGAAGAAATTAATTTTGTTAAATTGTCAGCAGTGTTTACTGGACATTGCTAACATTTGGAGAAAGTAAATGAAACAATCCTCAGGAAAGACGGACAAGTAAATGTACATTTGCCTAATCTTTCTGAATCACACCGAAATAAGCACAAGTGAAGAAAAATTAAATGCTGAGGAATTATTCTAACCAAGCAACTCCTCAGCCTCTGTGGAGGACTTCTAGGTGGCCCTCCTTGAAGGAAGAGCAGTTGTCTCCATTTGGGCTGTGCCTGACCGTATTTCCAGGGTACAGAGCTGTCTAGGACTTTTCCTTATCCCTTCAACTGGCTTTAAGCAATGCATATGAGCCCAGCTAAGGTGCTACTCAGACTCTGTGAAGAAGGCAGTAGAGCAGTGTTCCCCCACCCCTGTAGCTCCCCAGGCCACACGTGTGAGCTGGGATGGGATGGGGATGGGATGGAGAGCTGTACATCACGCTGTCAGCTGGGAGCCTCAAGATAAGAGACTATGACTTCCCAGGACATAAAAGATTACAAATCAGAGCTGAAGCACCAACCTCAAAAGATTATATTCTAAAACTCAGTTGTGTTATGCAAATAACTCTTTCTGCACATCCTTTTCTCTGCACATTGCAGAGGTGATTTTAGGCCTCCTACACAGCCCAAATCAAAGCCTCACCTACTTCCCACCATCCTCACACTTCCTCATCCTCAAGCCACTCCCTTCTTCATGAATTAATAAAACCTGGGTGCAGCTCTAGGTCTAGGCCTTTGTTCCTATTAATCACTATTGTGTTTGGACTTAGGACCCCTTGGCTTCCCATAACTACGAATATGCCTTAGAGTCTATATCCTTGCCATGGGGTGCACTGAGAGTGGTAGATTGGAATTAACTTGCTATAATTCCAATAACTTTTCCATGAGGTTACAAATATAAGTTTCTCAGACCATAACAAGGACTGGGAAGGGCATGCTATTGCCTCTATAACAAATAACTTAGTACTCTGAAAAAAGAGGATCAAAAAACATACCTAAAAATGGAAAGATATGCCCTGTTCCTGGATTGGCACAATCAATATTGTCAAAGTCTCCATGCCTAATGATATATAGAGTTAATTCAATCCCAGTCAAAATATTGACAGCATTCCTCACAGAACTAGAAAAGAAAATTTTAATCTACATGACCTAAGAAGAGACCTAGAACAGCAAAAGCAATCACAATCATGAAAAAACAAAGCAGAAGCACAAATGACCAGTGAATTCCTCAAAACTGTTCAACACCTTTGGAGATGAAAGAGATGAAACTCATAGCAACTTCTAAATTTTATCTTACTTCAAAACGAATGGCAATTTTTTTTTTTTTTTCTGTATTTAGGCAGGATTTACAGAGTCTACAGGGTCTGATATGTAGGTCGGACTCATTGTGATCCTCCTGTTTTCAGCCTCCGAAACGCAGTGATTACAGGCGTGCCCACCACGCCCAGTCTCAATCGCCGTTTCAACGCGCCTCAGCAAGAGCTGGGCCTGCACCTCACGCCAGCAATCAAAGCCCAACCACTGCGCTCTGCCTATGCAGGCGTTTTAGTCCACTGAACTATCAGGCCGGCCCAAAGAATGGCAATTTTCAAGAACTCAATAAAATAATGCTGGCAAGGCAAGGCAAAGGAGAAGACATGCCCCTCGCGCATTGTTGGTGGGAGTGAAAACTAGTGCAATCTGTGGAAATTAGTATGAAACTTTTCCAAGATCTTTAAAAGAAAAATTTCATTTGATGTAGTCATTTTTCTTGTAGATATCTTCCTGAAATTATTAACAACCTAATAAGACCCTGATACATGTGTATCCATGTTCATGGCAGCACAATTTGTAATAGTTGAATCTTGGATGTGGTCTATATGTCCAGATGAATGCATAAAGAAAATGTGGTATTTATAAACAATGACGTATTAGTCAATCCTAACAAGTGAGAAATTTTTAAGTTGTTTGCAGGAAAATAGGTTCAGCTTGAGACTATAATGTGAAGTAAATCACAAAACAAGTAGTACATGGTTTCTCTTATTTGAGAAACTCAAAATAAGTAATTTGAAGAACAAAACAAAAGACAGATATAATGAAATAGGGTTATAGACCCTCTGCAAGTGGGAGGGTAGTGGAAGAGGAAGGGGGGGTGAGGAGGACACCAAAAGTAAAATAAATTCAGATGTGA